AGCAAATTGAAAAGATAAGAGGCTTATATTTTATATTCTAGCTTGTCAATATCAGTAATTCGTATGAAACTATAGACTTCACAAACATTAAATTTGAAATAGTATGGCATTCAACATACCACGTGAGACACAAAAATCGATGTTTAACTGTGTTTCTTAATATTTACTTTTAAATTAAGAAATTGAGTAACATATAGAACTAAAATTTGAATTATAATCTACAGTTTGATACCAAACTTATTGACATAATTCATGAAATAGTAGTTCAATAAAATTTTGAATGTGAGTCAACAAACGAGATGACATGGCCTTTGACCCATGTGGAAAGGATTAAAGATCTAAATACTTGCTAGACATTTTAAGATTATTTTACATTGTTTTATGTCAGTAAATTTACAAGTTTTTCTTAGATACATAAGAAAATTTCTAAAGATCTATCCATCTAAATGTTTCTTAGTTTCAAATAGGCATGTACAATATATTTACACAATCACCAGGGCTGGGCAATTAGAGAAATTTGATAATCAATTAATCAACAGGCTCAATAACTGACTAGTACACACACAACCCCTACCAGCATATCTATAAAAACAAATAAAAAAAATAAATAAAGGTGCCTATGTGCTATCTTCATGACTTATTCAGATAGTATTATGTTTGTGTGAAAGAAATTGCACAGAAATAAAATACTTGGGGAATGAATCACTAATGTCAGCTACACATCACCACTATTATTTTTCTTTTTAAAATATACAGTACTTCTGCACTAATCCACGGTAAATAAAATGATGGAAACATATTTAACTTTTACACTCACCATTCACCAATAAGATTAATATTGGTTTCTTTTTTTTAAAATCATGATTATACATTGTTTGAATAACATAAAGATAAAATATAATACTCAAAAATATTTCAGCCATCAGAATATTTTATTTTGCACTTACCTTCCATACTCGCCATGTTGCCAAACAATAAACTTAACCAACCTTATTTGGTAAACATTATAAAAAAATCTCATGTTTACAAACATTACAAGCTCAATAAAACCATAGTATATTTATCAAAAAGTAAAAACACTATATTTTTAAACAGCGAAGCAAACGTCAACAAGACACCTTTATTAAAACAACATTTTCCAGCCATTGTTTTTCATAAAAGCATAAAGATAAGTTGGCTAAAGATGGTACAAACCTTGAGCACATAGTGACACCATTGACCTGATCATAAAGCCTTCCATTAAACAAAAAATGAGATTCCTTAGTGGCAAAGTACCTAAGTTTTACAGAAAGTGCCGAGTGTGTTTATAATGACAAATACAATTAAAAATCACCCCAGAATCTATCTTTTACAGTTTAAGTTAGCAAATTAAAGAAACACAGTAAGGTCTCTTATCGTGGTGATATTAATATACTTATGGGGTTTTTGAGTCCCTTTTAACTTATCATGTAGCATCCTAAGTTAATTTAGGTGTGTGTATGTATGTAATATTATGGTGTTGCAGTCCACAGCAGTGTGTGTGGCAAATCAAATAATACTTCAGGCCTTTACATCACAGATTATATTTTCAATTTCACCTTTTGTTAAAAGAAAATGAATCCTTAATACAATCATTAAATAGTTGGTCCAATGTATAATGCCAATTAATAAATTAGATACAATGTCATAATATTATTGACACACCTAATGTAATTTAGGTTACTACATGGTGAGTTAACAATAACTTAAAAACATCACAAATATTATATACACACCATCATTATAAGAGGCTTAACTGTATTTCTTTGGTTTGCTGACCCAAGCTGTGCTGATGAGCCTTGAATAGGTTAAACTGCAGTCAACAGTAGAGGATGTGGCAAACCAAAGAATACATTAGGCCTGTATGTTACAGATTATATTTTCAATTTTACCTTTGGTGAAAAGAAAGTAAACCTGTAAAATAATCACAAAACTTGTACCACTAAGTTGATACTCACAATGGGAAGAGCAGAAATAGCACTTGGTGTTGCTTTGCATTTAACAACAAACAAACATAATGGTTGTATTTTTGATTATCTTGGCAGTCAAAATAACTGGAATATCTAGTTTTGATTACTTGATTATTTTCAAGAATTGTGATGCTAATTTATTAAGTTGAACAAACTTGGATTTATTGAAAGTAACAATGAAAAATCATGCTGGTAATATTTTGATTACAGATAGTTTGAATAATTAGAAACACTAATTTCAATTAGTTGATTATTTTTTTTACATTAATCAACATAATTATAATTTTGATTACTGGATGGTTGGAATAATTGAAAACAGTAATAATCAGAAATATTAGTTGGTTGTTTTCGTGACATTAATCGATTTAATCATAATTTCAATTAATTGTTTATTCTATGTAACACTAAACAATATAATCGATGCTCATAGGCAAGTGATTTTATCACCAAGCTCTAGCGAAGTTATTACCACCAACACAGGATGCTTTACTTCAACACCAGTCATTACTGTTACTATCAGATATAAGAGTTGTTACTGCTACTGTTAGATGTAAGAGTCCATCAGAATTTAAAAAAAATTAAAAATCTGATCTTCGCCAACTGTCAAAATAAAAGGCTTTTAGTTATATTTCTTAATAGTATAAATATATACTATTTTATTGTTGGGCTTAGGATTCTTGTACAGTAGGTGTCTGTGACTTGTTAGCAATAAATTCAACAATAAATGAACAGCTCACACTTCACTTGTTTTAAAAAATAATATATATATGTATGTGTGTGTATATATATATATATATATATATATATTTGGAACAAGTTAAACATATGTACAACAAATTCTTCAACACTATAGATATTACAAGCATGTCATAAACACTACATATGTAGTGCTCTCCTTCCTGGGCTGATAAAGCTTTCCCTGGTGCCATTAAAGTGGCAGGAAAATCAGCTGTAGCAATCAGAGCAGCAGTGGTAGTTGTGATGTGGAATTGATTGGGAAAAAGGAGAAATGAAGCTCCAAAAGCAATTCCAAAACAATGAAAACTCAAAAAAATATGGTTTGAAAAACCTGGAAAAAAAAATTGATAGAACTATTCAATAAAGACAAGCAGTAGGAAAGCACATGTGAAAACATCCTAGCAGTATGACTGCCAATCAAGAAGTGATTACAGGCTGCATGGAAGAGAGGGCATTGTGACAATAGGAGTTGTGTCGTACCCCTATTGGTGGAGGGTTGCTGCATGATCATTTGTATGATAACATGCAGATGTCTCAAATGAGGGTAGGTATGAGTATCAAGGCTAGTGGCAAGTGAAAATTTGTGCATATAGAGGGCAGTATAAATCAAGAAAAGCTATTTGTGAGTATTGAGTAGAGGTAATATATAGTAACAGAATATAATACTTACCTGGGTCTTATTTTTCTTTGTTGTCAACTGTCAAAACTTAAGCCTACTTTTTTATACTAATAGTACTACCATACTAAATAATAACATGTAAAAAGCAGACAATGTCCTATAACTATCATTCAGCTAAGCTTCTTGATATTTTTCTCGTATAAATAAAGTTCTAACTGGAAGTGAAATAGACAATTCTCTGTATAGAAAACAATGTAATATAAATGTCATTTGATAGATTAAAACTTTGATTTTCTATTGATTATAAACAATATAGTATTAATTCTCAGAGAGAGTTATTGGTAATTTGTGTGAGAGTGATGCAACATGTAGGTGTGGCAAGAGGGGTTTGATTTTCTAGTTTATGGCTCTATAATTCCAAATATGATTGAAAACTATTAAAATTATGCTTTGTCTGAGTAATATCAATATTATAATGAGTAATTTGCATTAAATACCATACTTCTGGGAAGGGGGGTAAATAAATTAAAGAAGAAGGAAATCCTAGACAGCAAATGTCACAATTTTCATACTAGGGAGATTCAAAATTTTTTAAAATATTTCCTTATAAAACAATGAACTTAAAATTTACATTATATTAAAATTTTATTTATTAGCTACAGTTTGATGGCAAGTTTATTCGAATACATTGATAATAAAGTAGTTTAATTAAATTTTGAACATAACTCTGTAAAAGGTCATGATATGTGCACTTTGACCTACCCGATGCGAAAGGGTTAAGGACAAATATATTTTAATTAGTCTGGTTAAATTGAGAGTAATAAAAATATCTCAAGTAAACCCTGCAATGTTTACTACATATAATACTTTTTTTTTTTCTGAGTTTCATGCTTAGATGAGTAAAAGCAGTATCTAAATCTGTAGCTTACTTTGGTATCATATGTGCAGACCCATGAAACAGGCGACAAAGCCTATATACTTATTTTGGAACCACATGCCCAGACTCCTGCAAAAGGGGTGTCTCAACATGTACAGTTCAATATAGCTAGACTTATATGTGGATGGTAAGTTGTATGTCAAAACCTGTATTTTTACTTTACACTGTACAGACTGAGTGGATCAAACCTATATGCTTCCTTTTTACCCACTGCTTAGATAGAGTGAGCAACCCTATGTTCTTACTTTGGTGCAAGTTTAGACTATTAATGGGATGACTAAATCTGAATATGTGTATATATATTTTGATACCACATGTTTAAACTAGAAAATGACTACCTAAATCTATGTGATTACTTTAGTATCACATGTCTAGACTGGTAAAGAGAGTGCAGAAAGAAATCTGTAAACTTACCTTGGTACCACTCCCATCTGTATAACGGCTCCTTTTTGACGGTTGCTTCCAATGACAGAATTTTTGAGCTGACTACAAAATTCAAAATAGGAAACTTGTAGAACAATAGAAACACAAACATCTAAATTTTTGCCTTGAAAAAAAAGAAAAAGAAGAGGTTTATGATTAAAAATGAAAATGTATTCATAAGAAAAATCCAGTTTTACATTCAACTCAACCAAATAACTTTAAAGTGAACCAATAAAAAGAGAGAATGAAAAAAAATACATCCACCACTCCCACAAAGTCTCTGTTAACAAAAAGGATTTGAAACATATGAAACAATTATTGTATGGGCAGTAAGAAATATAATAAAGTAACATAAAAGCTATAAATTAAAAAAGGGAAGACACAAAGTAACAGGTTTACTGTTGGTAGAAAACACATGAATCATGTCATCAATGCTGTCATGTGCCCATCTCTCCCACTAAATTTTCAAATCATACTAAAACAGTTATATTGTGAGAATGCCTGCTTGTCTCATCAGTTCAATGCATGGTGGAAAGTACTGCACATATGCTATATAAGACATTCTGCGTGTGCAGTAATGTGTTTTAGTGCAGCATCCAAAAATTCCTTTTTCAGAATTTGAAAAAAATTCAAATAGTTTGATATTTATATCTAAGTAAAAAATAATAATCTAAGCTGTACTACTGTACTTACACTTGTGACCTGGACCTTAACCTGATGGAACAAAGTTATATTAGAGAATGAATATTTACTATAATTCTGAACTTACTACATGTATCTTTGTGAAATTTAGCAAGCTTTCAGTAAACATGAAACATGAATGTTGTACACAACCTAATCAAAAGTTAATCTGATTGGTTTACAAGACAGTTTTAATTCAGAACAAAATTGTATCTGTTTAATCCAAATGTACATACATAGTAATAGGAACAGTATCATTACTTCACAAAATTAAGTATATGTATTCCTGAAATATACTAAAAAATTAAGACTATGTTGAAAAATTTGTCATGAGCTACCTCTTGGTAATGATTAGTTATTTCCCTCACAATTTCTGTATCTTAATACACAGTACAATTTTCAATGTATTTTTTTACTTAGCTATATACAACTATAGTTTGACAAGTATTCACAAAACTAAATATTCTTTTCAGCAAAATGATCTGAATAAAATTACAGGATCACATCCTCTTAACAGATTTTTACTTTTTGTAATACTGATTTCTTGATAACATTCTCATCACCTCTAAATCAATCAAATACATGGAGCTGAATAGAGTTAATGTAATAGCTTGTCCATATGAACAAATCATACAAATGTTTTTACAGAACTTAATTTAATCAGTTATTGTCCCCTAGTTTACCTTCTATATAAAATAAACTTACATCACAGCATCTACACATTTCTGTGGATCTGGAGAGAAGAGTTGATCTACATAGGTCCTGCTGCTTTCTACATCCTAAAAAGAAAAAAAAACAAGCTCAGCAATACATATTAATATAATTCTTTCAAATTAACACTTTCCTTACCTAAAAATATGTTTCTCTTAGATACCTCTCCACAAAGATAGCTAACAGCTTACACCACTGCCCCAAGCTTTTGAATGAAACTCTCACCCAACATTTAATAATGTGTACTGTGCCAGTCTATGATGCAATAAGCATTAGACTTTAGCTCTCCTCCAAAAGAATTTCTTTTCAGCACTTTGTATATTCTAAAAGTTCATTCTTGATTAGGTAAAAATAACACACTGGAAGTGATGAGGAAAGATGGGTGATTCTGTGTAGAGGTGTCTATCTGAAACATGTTTTCAGGTAAGAAAAATGTTACCTTCCGAAATGCTACTCACCTTTCCATAGAGCATATAGCTAGAATACCACATTGAGAAGATGGTGTAGGGATGAGTGCAGATAGAGCAATTAAAAATATGAGATCGTTTCTGAGAATAAAGCAATAGAAAAGGAAAAACTCATGAAATGTGTCACCCACTTGGGAGAGTGGAACCTAGTGGGAACATCATTCGATGAGAGACCTCATCCATCTCGAGCATTGAATGCTTTTTTTGCCCATTACAAGTGATAGTGTGGAAGGGTACTGTCAAAAGAACATCCTTTTAAAGGCTACTCAACTGTCTGTATATCTCAGGGGGTTGGAAGACAATGTATGTGTAGTGTGGCTATGACAATAAGTCAAGCTGAACAGTACGAGAAAATATACATATCTGATATGCTTACTAGAATAAGCAGGAGCCATCTGTCTAGTCATAACCAATGGGAATGGCCCAGTTCTTACTCTATGAGCATGGGTTCAGTCATTTTGACCAACCTATTAATCACAAAACTATACATATTATGACTGTAAATTCACTAAACATATCTTCATAAAATTTGGCAAGTTTTTAATAAACATTATATGTCTGTTGTACACAGAAAAATCAGAAAGTTAATAATAAGTATTTTTACTAAAGACTGTCTGCAAATTTAAAAAATCTTTACTGAGTAAGTCTGAGTGAAAAGTGACTTTCATGCTAAAATAAAATACTTCTTTTTCTTCTTACAGTTTTCATATTTCACTTGCTTAACCTCTTGTAACTCATAAATGATTATCAAAAGTCTTTTGGTAAAATTTAATATCTTATCCCTTATTTTCTTTACCCTAGCTGTAGTGAGACCATCCAGAACAAAAGTAGAAAACATAAAATAAAATAAAAATACATTTTTTTTATAAGTTCATATTGTAAAATGCAATTACATTATTCTTCCTAAACAGCTTCAGTCTCCTAACAGTTTACATTTGATTTTGTTTTATTGCTCTTTGAACTTATCTAACTGTGTAACAAAGTAAAAAATCATCAGGTGGGAACTTAGTGCAAGTTGTGGTAAACAAAGTATTAAGTTATGTTGATTACATCATGTGAAGTCTGTCATGCATACATTGCTAAATAAGAAACTTTTTATCTATTTTTTTCATTTCAGTTTTCTTATCTAACTTAATAAGATCCTAATTTTTACATTTTAGTTACTTTTGTTAAAAAATATATATAACAAATGTACATTAAAACCAAGAAATTTTGCATTTATTTTAGCCTTGAGGTCTTTAGCACTTAGGTGCATGGTTTAGTAATCATATTTTTTTTTCATTACATTGGTTTTTTAAAAATAATTCATGTAGCTTCCAAATACGTATTTTACAATACAACAAATACATCAAACACTAGTTTAGAATGTACAAAAACTACCATAATTTATCTGGCTTTCTAACTGACTTATAAATAAGTTAAAAAATGTTCATTACTTCTTGTAGAAACATCTTTAGTCCAAATCCATCAAGCTCTCACAGTGAATTATCTGCTTTTACTGCTAAAACAAAACATACAATTGTATGATTTATATAGTGTAGATATTGCTCTTTCTATTGGTTATAAGCATGTTCAATAGCAATGACAGAGAGAAATACAGACATTTCTTGAAAAACAGAGGATATGGAAAGGGTGTGTCAATGTGGGTTGAACAAATATAGTGATATCTCAGTAAAGCAAGAAGAGGTGGAAATTTTATATTCGGTCTTGTCAATACACATAGCACGTGTTTCTCACTGGTTGAATAACCTTAAGCCCTTGTCAGGGAAGAGAAAAAAACTATAAATGAGAAGTCACAGTGCCAACAAGATGTACAATTGAGATGCAGATTGGAATTTGTTTAAGTATTTCCTTTTGAAATTAAGAAATTAAAACTTATGTAATATACAAATTTGAATTATAAATCACTTTTTGATGCCACACTTATTGACATACATTGATAATAGTTTTATTACATTTTGAATGTAACTCTGTAAAAAAGATTGTGACATTCACACTTTGAGTCACATTTCCATAAAGTTAATGTAGGGGATGGCCTGGATCACAATTACAGGTAAACACACCTGGCATACTCCCGATTGAGAGATGCATCCACTTGGTCTCATATCAGTGAGATTACACTGACCGAAAGGGAAATTCTCCATATCAATCTCCCCAGTGGAATGGTACTGGGTGAGCAAGGATTCTCCCACTTCACTAGAAGATACTTAAAGTAAGGAATATGCATAGGAGAAAACATTGTAGAGGTTCTTGAACTAAACAGATATTACCTATCTTCTGAAGAAGGTTCCACACTGAGAGACTGTGCAATGGGTTACTGCAAACAGGGAAAGCTCCTGCCAAGTGTGAGGGAAGGGAATTACAAATGGTGCTATTTTTTTGTTTGTTAGGATCAGTATGGCTTGGAAGGTAAATGTAGTAAATTCCAAGGAAGTCTTATGGAAATCTCCATCTTACCAGTGGTCACTAAGCAGGAACAAATGGCTTAACACTTTATTTTATCCCTTTCTTGATGCAGATATCAGAAGAGAGAGAAGCATTTTGTGTGAGGCAACACCAGACATATGGTGGATTCCATTGTCTCCAATATATATATATATATATATATATATGTGTGTGTGTGTGTATTTTCTTGTACTTAGAGGTAGTTGCTTTTTTGTGTGCATTGAGAGCTGCAAGAAAAAAGAAAGTATCAACAACACACTGTTCTAGAGCCTCTGGAGAATGGCAACTAGAGGAAGAAGAAACCCAGAGGTGGAAGAAACTGCAATATGGTGTAAGGAATGTGATACAATATCCCGTCCAGGAAACATTGACAGTTAGAGGTAATAAAAGCCATGAGATAACTAGATGGGATGACATGAAAAAGACGAAAGAAGCTGGATGAGTTGGTTAATCCAACTGGTCAAGGCAAAAGGAGATAAGGCATGAGAAGAAGAGAAACCTTATGTTTAAAAAAAAAAAGCAATGTCAGCTACTTGAAAAGGAACAGTATGAGCAAGATAACAGTGAACTGTTTGAAGAAGACAAAGGAGAGATTCAAAGTCTGAACAATTGCAAAAAGAAAGAGAATGGAGGGTAATTGGAGTACACAAGCTACCACCCTCCTAAGAAGCTCAAGTTTTGGGAAGCAGTCTGGGAATAAAATCAACTTGCCCCAGTAGTAAAGAGAATGAGAGAATTGATGGCAAAAATATCAGACTGAAGTCTCCCACAAACAACAAGTAAAAGAAAATACATCTTAAAAGAAATATGGTGGGGAATGGCCAAAGATTAAAATAGAGGATATGTAAGAGCCCCGAGATCTAAATAGAGATTCCAGTTAGATGAAAAATCAGATGAGACGGAAGACTAAATAGAATGGCTCAGAAGAAGCCTGCAAGAATTGGAGAAAGAAAGGAGAATGATAAGAAAAAGATAAAAGGTTATCAATAAAGCTGCCCTGTAATGGCAATCACAGAAATGGATATACCACCTTCAAAATCCACATAAAAACGAAATGAGATAAGGAAGAGTTGGATGACCTGGAAGAAGGGAGTGGAGAATGGACCAGCATCAGTAATCAACTAAGTATGAATGGTCAATAAGAGTGAGCAAGAAAAAGATGGTGGATCAATCCAGGATCAAAAGGAATACCACCAAGGCCACAGAGTTTGGATCTGAACACAAAAAGAAGTGGAATCTTGGTGTAGAGGGGGAGTCACAAATGCACTAATAAGAGAATTCCTAAAATGGGAAAATCCACAAAAATACCAGCACCAGGAGATGAAAGGAGCTCTTTGTCAGAAGGATTTGGTCTGGGAGAGTCAACTGATCCTACACTAAATTCAAAGCTTCAGAACATGGTAGGCCAACAACTAGATATTGTTGTTACAAGCTCAAAAGCAGAGCTCAAAAACAAGAAAGCAGAGGTCCTGATAGCAAGTACCTTTTAGTTGGTTGTGGTAAGAAATAACAATGGAGTTGTTTAAGTAGATCAAAACAGGATGACCCAACAGCTGCAACAAAAGATGTTGACAGGCCCACTGAACTGCCCGCAATTTCAATGATTTTGACATGGAAAAATTACTTGAAGGAGATCAAAAATGGTAAAAGCATCTACAGCCACACCTCAACTTGCTATAGAGGTATCTATGAACAGGTGTAAGTCTGGTCAAGATAAAGGAAGATTGATCCTCGGAGCCTTGTGGAAAATTTCAAGCCACCATGATAGTGAAAGGTAAACAGATAGAGACAGAGGAACAAGAAAAGACAGTGCATCTCAGGGTATATTTTACTGATCTGCCAGAATCCACTGAAGGAAACACAAAAGTGAAGAGTCCCCCCAAAAGAAACAGAACCTCAGGAAGAAAAGTCAACATGAGAGCTTTGGAAACCAGAAGCTCCAAATCTCAGAAATGTAAAGGTTGAACCCATCCAGTAACTAGGGTGACAGATTTTCCAGAGAATCAGATACAGAATGGGAGTCCATACTGACTTAAGAGCTTGACATCTAACCTAAAAAAGCAGACTCAAAAGTAGAAGGGAGGTCTCAGTAGATAAAGCCTCTCAAGTTAGGACTAGGAGATGACAAATATTCATAAAGTGGAGGAAATGCAGAC